CTGCTATAGGGACACTTCGGGGCCGTTCGGAAACCACAGAGCGGCGGCTGGGCCCGGGCGGGGCGTCGCGGCGTCGGCGTCGGCGCCGTGGGCATTACCGGCACCGGCGCGGCGTCCTTGGAGGAGGCCGTGTCGAGCAGCAGCAGCCGAAGATACTCACCATTAGGTTTGTACAGGGGGCTCTCGGGGTCCACATCGCGATCCTCTGCAACACAAAAAATGACGACAAACAGCGTGAGTAACAACACCGAGCGGCAAAAGCAGCATTACCACCTCAAGGTCCGGCGTCCGCGAGCGAACGAAGCGGCAGGGAAATAAAGTAATGGGCGTAATTGTCAAATTGAGGAGCAAGAGAGGGGAAGGGCGGGGTGGGGCGAAATGCACGATTCATGCAGATTATTTCCCACTCAGGAAAGAGAGGGGGGGGGGCATCTACACGACGATAAAGACCATCGGATGGCTGGGTCCGATATTTGCGCAGCCGCGGAGCCGGACAGGCGGACCGGACAGGCGGATGGACAGCGGGAGCCGCGGGATCACGGTCCGACGGGTCGATATGCCCCTCCCCGTCGTCGTCGGGATCCGTCCGAGCGCCCTGCCCGGGAGGAGGCCATGAATGCTACGCCACGGTCCCTGTCTCTGCTATCCGCCGCCGCCTCGTCCGCTCCTCCAAACCATCTTTTCCGATTCTGATCCGGCATGAAGCACCCGACCACAAGAACAACAAAAACAGCAATAACAAAAGTATCATCATCATTAGCCCGCCAGCCCGGGCCTAACTTGAATAGAGGCATACAGGCGGCGGCGCGGTGGCGTCGTCGTGTTGTGCCCGCTCTCTCTCTCTCTCTCTCTCTCTCTCTCTCTCTCTCTCTCTCTCTCTCTCTCTCTCTCATTCTCGCTCCTCCGCGTCCTTCCACACCGCACCGACAGGCATTATTCACCGGAATTCGTGCATATAAATGATGATGGATTGAGGGACACGCGGGGCACCCAGCCGGGGCCCGCCCGGAGGACACGCGGGAGGGGGAGTGGAGGGAGGGGGCACGGGAAATTAGGCACAACCGAGACACAACGGGGGAGTGAAAGAGATTAAAAAGATCTGGGAGGTGGGAGGCGAAGAGCCACAGGAAGATCTGAGGAAATGCACGAGGAGGGGGGGGGGAGGGGGTAAAGAGAGCGGTGAAGGAGCGGGAGGAGTGGGGGGCGATCGGGACAGGCAAATGGAGCTGTACCAGGTATTTTAATGAGAAGATGATGACTCAGAGGTGTGCGAAGGGGAGCGTATACCCAAGTGTACAACGGGAGGTGGGAATACCTAAGCATACTCCGGGCATAAGTACCCCTAAAGCCGCACACACGGTGGATAATCAAATAAAGCACCGGAAAGCCGATTTCCCACCCACCCCTCCCTTTTCATCATCTTTCCTATGAAAAGTCGTAACTTTCCCATCCTCTTGACGCACAGCTGCCTTCCGGGTAGTCCAGCCAGCTCCTGCCCAGCGCGCCAGGGAGGGCCATCGCCTCGCTCCCGGAGCCCGCCCCCGCACCGCCACGGCTCACCTGGCCGTCGTTGAATGGCGCGGCCCGGCACTTGGCACCAGGGGCTAACCGAGTCAATTATATGCAGTGTGCCACACGCACGCACACAGGCGCGCACTCGCACACGCACACACGTCCCAGGTAAGGCAGGCAGGTCCCACCGAGCTGGCCGCCGGACTACCCAGAATGCTGATGACCCAAACATATCCCCCTTCCAGGTAAAAAAAAAAAAAGAAAAAAAGAAGGAAAAGAAACAGAGGTGTGTGTAAGCTCGTTTGCTTTTGGCTCGCTAAGTCCCGTCGACGTCGCCGTCGTCGTCGTCGTTTTCCTCCAGTCTGTCACTTTGTCACAATTGTCATCATATCTGCGGTCGAGGGCGGCGGCGGGAAGGAGGGGGAAGGACGGGGTGAAAGCCGAGGACAAGAGCCGGGCCGGCAGCACCCTTTCCCCCAGGAGACACAACTCCTCCACGGTGCCAACGAGCGCGATCGTGCGTGTGTGTGAGTGGGTGGGTGTGTGCGCCTACTTCCGCCTCCACGCATGCCCACTGCTCGGGTCCGGTGGCCGCGCCCCGTCGCTGAGTGCCAATGGTGCCCGTGGCAAGAGACGACGACGGTATTAGCCCGCGCCCTCGGGTCCGGACAATCCGCCAGCGACAACGACCTAGCGTGGCGGGGGCGGGGCGGGGCGGGGCGGGGCCCGCGGCGGACGGGACGGACCAGCCAGCCAGCGCGGCCGCCGCCGGGGCGGTATAAGCCAAAAACAACCTCCACGAACACGCGCGGCCGAGCGCCGCTGGTCTGTCAATCACGACACACGGCCGCGTCACACAACACACACACACACAGAGGGGGCAGCGGACCTGCTGGTTCATCCTGCTGCTCCGCCTCGGCGCAATGCAGGTTGGAAAACGGCTCGGGGGGCGAGGGGGTGCCTGACCTCCGGCGGCCCCCCGGATCAACTGGCTGACTATGAGAAATCCCCCCCCCCCTCACCTTACGGGCACAACAAAAGAGCGATCCTTCAATTCGCCAGGTAGTGGGATGGTTATGCATATTCCTACACGTCCAATGAAAACGTCCCTCCACAGGCCCCCGTTCCCCCAACGCTATTTTTACTGCTGCACCCTGCATCCTTACATTCCGTCGTCGTCAACCTCCTCCGGGTCGAAAACGTAAAATTTCCCCCAACAGCATGTGGACAGAGAATATGCAACATATTAGCGTTGAGATTTATGATATTCAAAACAAAATTCGCATGCAGATTTTGCCGTGTACGGCGTGGGCAGTCCTGCTACCACCTTCCTACATGCACAACGTACTTGTGTCTGCAGTGTGCCGTGCACTGCTTTGCATGTGGCTTTGACAGATGATGGTTGTGGCCGGTCCGGGAGGGGGCGCAGAAAGGAAAAAGACTCCCTCCTGACGATGCAATGCTGCTGCCTCCGCTGCTCTGCGAGCTCCATTGTGGGTGCATCCGGGTCCTCCCCCCCCCCCCCCGGCTACTTCTGCCCAGGGTGCCCGAGGTGGGTGCCCCCACCCGCTACTATGCGTCCACCTGGCCAAGACGAAAAGTCAGCAGCAGCAGCACACCGAATCAGCAAGGCATCCAACCCTCCACTGGGCACAGGCTGGAGGGGCGAGGCACAACCCAGCATATGTTGGCAGCGCAAAGGCCCTCTACATGTCATCAAAATACAATCCACGGGCGGCGGAAACCAAAAACAGCAGAGCTTTTTGCATGCCAAAAGAGTTTTAAAAAACAAAACAAAAAAAATGCTCAGTTGGTCCTCACCGTGTCCACAGTCAGGTGCGCGGTCGCTGCTTATGCCTGTGTGAGTGAGTATGTATGCAAGAGAGACAGTGAGACAGAGAGAGACAGAGAGACAGTGCCACACACCGCGCGCGTCGCAAAAACAACGCGGCGGGGGCGGCGCCCCCCGGAATACCAAGTCCAGCAGAAGTCGGTGGAACCCGGTGGAACCGTCGTCGCCGGGGTCCTATCGGCCATGGCATGCCCCACCGATGGAGAGGTCGTCTTCCCCCACCCGCTCCCTCCCCTCTCTGCTTCTGGAGACTTCGACGCACGTCGAGGTCGGACTGACCGCCCCGGCGCACCCCCCCTGGAGCCTAAACTGCACCCTTTCCATGCTCCTCGCCACATTCCTCGGGCGCGCAGGGGAGAGATATCTCTTGAGAGAATTCTCATGTAATTGCTGCAAGAGACACACAAGAGCGAGAGTGCAGAGAGGGAGATCAGATACGAGTGTAAGAGAGGGAGAGATGGGTGAGCAGGGGGTGAGTGGGGGGTGAAGATGACACCGCCACCGCCACCGACCACCACCACCAGCGCCATCTGGGAGCAGTCCTTCCATCTCACTCATATCATCAATATTGTTTTGTGTTCTGCCAGACGGGCAGTGTGGGAGGGATGGACGAGGGATAAGGGAGGGAGGGGGTGGAGGGGTGTTTGGCACGGCTGCAGCAGAGCCGGCGCTGCGCTATCACGGCCAGACCCGAAGCAGCAGCAGCAGCAGCAGCAGAGGCCCCTCGGCACCACGCTCCGCCACGCCCAGGGGATGGATGTCAACCATGACAAGCAGACACGCGAACTCACTTAGCTCACCTTCCTCTAGGACCGTCCTGTGGAGGAGGAGGAGGAGGGAGAGGGGGAGATAGAGGAACAAGGAGAGGAGAGAGAGTGAGAATCTTATCCGGCGGTAGCCGATAGTAATCCAGGCGCTTGCTTACCACCAACCAACCCACCCACCCACCACCCCCACCCGAAGGGAAGGGGGGGGGGGCAAGGCGTAGCGTGGCGGCGCGTCCGTCATACCTTGACCCGGCCGGCGGGGCCCGCGCTCATTTCTGGGTAGAGAAGGTAAGCCACGGCCACGGCTTCGACTAATGACCAGATAAACCGGAGTGGGGCCCAAATGAGCCGCGGCCGGCCCCGCCCCGGCCGCCACAGCGTGCCGCCGCCGCGACAAGCGGGCATCGCATGCCGGTCTCTTCTGGTCCGGTCGGAGCCGCGCGGATAGCGAGCTAAGCGCTGAGCCAACCTCGGCCCGGGATAATCCCAGAGCCGCGCGGAGAGTGCACGGCCGAGATAGGGGGCACGCGTCGACGGGGCGACCTGCTGCTGGTGCCGGCCGCGCGGGCAAGGGTTGGGGTTGGGCGGGAGGGGGAGGGGCGTTGCGATAGCACCGCGTCGACGACGGCCTGGATGTACCTGACGGCGAGGCGACACGAGGGTGACAGCCGCCGTCGCTGTTGTCGCGGTCGTGATCCGAATGGCAGGCGCGGGGTGACGGACAAGAGAGCCGTAACTCGCGGCCAACCGTGGCGCAGATACAGCAGGGCGCTGCTGAGCGCGCGCATGCAAAACCGCGTACTACCGCTCCGCGACGCAGCGAGGCGAGGCTCGTCGCGGACGTGACCTGGACGACGGCCAGCCAGCGCCCTCGCCTGCGGCCGGCCGTATGTGTGGGAGAGCACCTCGCCAGGTCCTGCCAACCTACAAATGGGATTTTCCAGCGAAATCGCGCGGCGGCCGCGACCACGTTGCCTCCCGCTGGCTGCCGACCTGCTTGGCCCGGTGGCGGCACGACCCCGCCAGGAAAAAGTGCGCGGCGCGGGTGTGGCGGGGCCTGGCGGGGTGCGGCGGGGCGCGGTGGGGCATGGTGGCGCCCAGGCGGCCCGGACGGGACGGGGCTTCTAATTAGTGGAAAGGGCGAAAGGTCTCGGGGCCGGGTATGCCGCCGTCCGGGTCGCATTCCATGCATAGGCAAACCCACGGCGCGGGCCAAACCAGACGACCCACCCTCTGTACCTGTAAGCCGTACAGGCGCCATGCAAAACGGAAAGACCAAAGTGCATCACTAACAGTCATGAAGCCCCCTCCGCGGCGGGGGCGGCCCAACCTCCCCTTCACCAGGAACACCCACTAGCTCCGAAGGGAAGAACAAGTGGCCTGACATATCGGAAAACACACCCGTCAGGGCGGGAGGAGTGACTGGGCTAAAAGACACGGAAAATGCGAAATAAACGACCCCAAAGGCCGGAGCAAACGCACCCTAACCCTGCTGCTCGAGGCCCCGCGGCGCGGCGGGGAGAGAACAGACCCTCTGCTCCGCTCGGGCTGGTGCATGGCGTGTAATATTTTTATTCGCGGCAACAACCCTCCCGAGGAAGGGGCGGCGCAGCGCCCCGCCGGCTCCTTGTTCACTCCTTATCATATTCCTGACACCTGTTAACATCCCCCAAATCCACTGCAGCAGACCTTCGCGGACGGGCGTCGCCCCAGGGGAGGAAGAGCGAGACGGAGCAGCATGCAGGGCGTCGCGGTTTAAAATCGAGTTTTCCACCCCGTCATCTTCAACGTCTTGGGAGGAAGGTGACGGAGGAGAAGGGGGAGGGGAGGGGGGGTTGTTAAACAAAAGCCGAGCGGCCGGGCCGGGCGACGACTCTGCGGCCAGCGCTTACGGCCGCAACAATGGGCGGCCCATCTGCATAGCGGCGCAAGCGATAGGCTGTTATTGTCGGCCGGCCCGGGTCGAAGGTCGGCAGTCAGCTCGGCTAGATAAGCGGCCCCCACTATGGCCACTCCATGGCGGCCCAGCAGGTGGCGCCGGGTAAGACACTCACCGTGCGCCGCCAACGGCGAGGACTCCACGTTCGAGGACTCGGTGTTGCCGCCGACGCCCTCGTCTTCCGACGAGCTCGCCGACGAAGCCGCGTCCTGGCGCATGTACGACGGGCTGGTGGCGGGGCTGTGGTTGTTGTTATTGTTCAGGTGCTTGAGTCCATTCTTCTTGACGTGCTCGGGGACAGAGAAGTCGAGCGGCTGCTCGTCCAGGCCCCGGGGTGGCGCCACCAGCATGGCGGCGGTGGGCGTCTCGGGCGCCGGGACGACGGTGGCGGGCGGCGACACGGACGCCCTGGACCAGGGCCCCGCCGGCGAGGGCAGGAGCGGCGGCGCCACCACGGCCCCCCCGGGGGGCTGCTGCAGGGTGGGCGACCACTGCCTCGCGGGGAAGACGCTGCCGCCCTTCAAGAGTTCATTGTTGTTGGTGATGTGGTTGTTGTTGTTGTTGATGGGCTTGGGGGAGCGGGCCAGGGCCAGGGCGGCAGCCTGCTCCACCCACTGCCTGATGGCGTCACCCTTGACCTCCGCCAGCGTGTCGCGGGGGCCGCCTTGAGCGGCGCCCTGGGGGCACGGCCGGACCTCCACCTGGTGCACTGCTTGAGGCCGCGGCGGCTCAGGGCCGGGCCGGGCGAGTATCACATCCAGCTTGAACGTCACAGGGTGGCACTGTCACGCACACTCACACACGCACACACCGTCACTAGCACTGTCACACGCGCGGGGCACTTCGTCACACTCGCAAAAACACTGTGGGTATCCGTACTCGACTCGTCACGGCTGCAGGTGCGCGGAAGGCACTAACACGTACTTGTGCACGGCGCGCTGCTCCAACGCAGTCTGCGGCGGCGGCTTGGGCCAGGGCCTGGGCTGCCTGCTTGGGCCCGCCGCTGCGCTCGCTCCAGCGCGGAGGCCCGGCCAGCGCGGCGCTCCCCCACCACGCCTCCTGCCCCCACCACCGCGCGCCACCGCCCCTCCCCTCCCCGCGCCGCGGGCCGCGCTAGCCTCGCTGCAAGGCGCCCAGATGATGAATTTCCCCCGACCGCGCCGCGCCACGCTCCGCCACGCCGCCGATGCATATTCCGACGTCGGGCTGCGGAGGACGGCGGCAGCCAGAGCGAGCGCGCGACGGGCCGCGGGGCGGAGCGCGGGAGGGGAAGGCCCAGCCCAGCAGGACGCGGCCGGTGGAGGGGCGCCCGGGGTCCCGGCGCCGTGGTGGGGGCCCCGCCCGCGCAGCGCCCGCGCACAGCCCGCGCGCGGCCCGCGCAGTGGTGGGGGCCGAGGGGAGGGGCCGCGAGCCCCGCGCAAACCAATCCGGGCGCCCCGCCTCGCAGGGGCCTAAGTGCCGGGGCCCCGCGCGCGCCCGCGCCCGCCATCCCCGGCCTTCCCTTGCATGTCATTACCGGCGGCCAATCCGCGGCCAGCGCCACGGGGCGGGAGGTCGAGGCCGCTCAGGTCGTCGCGCCGCTGGGGAGGGACACGTGCGCGCCGAGCGGCGCTGCCATTGGCATGGCATGCAAATGGAATGGCCCACCTCGCGAGGTGCCGGGGCGCGGGGGCGCCTCGTGGTGGGGGCGCGCTGAGCAGGGCGCGGAGGGCGCGCGCGGAGGGGAGTGGCCTGACGCTCCCCCGCCAGCGCGGCTGCGGCGATACGGCCATAGCCGATCATAACCACTATGAGTAGCGGTATGCCCTCCGCTTATCATAAGTGGCGGCCACGCAGCCCCAGGCCCGGGGAGGAAGGGGGGTAAAGGGGGAAGATCTTGGCGCCGCCGACGACGACGCGACGCCGCACTACGACACTGCAGGTTCAAAAAACACTCGGCCAGCCCAGCGGGGGCACGACGCCAGGGCGCACATATCTCACGATGCTGCTATTGCCGAAGCACGCAGCGCAGCACACCGCCACTGCCCAGCCTAGCCCTATCTTCGCAGCATTTCTCCCGGTGAATAGAAGAGAAAAGGGGGAAAGCAGCCAGCGCATATCCGCTCCGGTCTCCCATTTCGCACAACACAGGTAAAACATTAGCCAGCCGATGGCAATCACCGACCTGGCGCCTGGCCCCGCCACGCCCCGCCCTTGCGGCGGATACAACACCTCGGCCCGGCCGCACCTTTCGGCGCTGGCGCCCAGAAGGTTGGCGGGCGTGGCGGGGCGGGGCGGCGGGTTCTGGCCGCAGCCCGGCCGCCCCGCGGCGGCCAAGACAGCCCAGCCCCGGCCGAGCCAGGCAGGCAAAACCACTTGCGAAGTCCGCAATGGGGAAAAGGGCTGTTAGTGCGGGAGGGAGCCTGGTGGAACGGCACGGCGGCCGGCCTTTCTCCAGCCCTCCGGCCGCGCCAGCCGCAGCGACCTACCCCCC